ATTTAAATTTAATTTAATTAACTTAACTAACTACTAACTAGTAGTATATATATATATATATATATATATATATATATATATATATATTTGACGAAAATATCCTCCTTTCATATGACAAATCATTTTCAAATCTCAATAAAAAAAAACACTGGACCGCATTTGTACAACGTCGGACTACTCGCGTACTTCAAAACGCCAAAATGCTCTTACAAAATTCCGGACTGCCATATCAAAACACCGAACTACCCCTTCAAAATGTCAAACCACAACTTCAAAATGCCGGACTACTCGCGTAATTCAAAACTCCGGAGTGCCTCTACAAAAATTTCAAACTGCCATATCAAAACACTGAACTACCCCTTCAAAATGCCGGACTGCAACTTCAAAATGCTAGACCGTAACTTCCAAATGCTGGACGGCCTATTCCAACCAAAAAAAATTAATCGTCGAACCGCTCATTCCAGCAAAAAAAAAATAGCCTAACCGCTTGTTCAAAATAATTTGTTATATGAGGGAAAGGTATTTTCGTTCAAATGAATTTTTTGTGTAGGGGTATCAGCTAGAAAACATCATTTTGGGGGGGGGGGGGGGGAAATGCTAGGAAAAGTTGGGTGGAATGTAAACAGGGTAAAAAGTCTATCTCATGGGGTTTTAGCAATTTTCCCCTTTTTTTTTTTTTTTGTGGAAAAATAGGGACTATTAAAATGGACCATTTATCCTTTGTACTACAAGGTTACAATCATTCCCACTATATCTTTTGTACAATCATTCCCACTCATTAGACATGAAGTTAGATTGCTAACAGACAAACATGATTTTGACCTTTATGCATAAAGGTTAAATGTTTTTCGGCAATAAATGGTCTCATTGTATATATTTTCATATGTGCATTAAGTAAGGTTATATTAGGGTACAGACCATTTACTTTTGTTATAAGGTGGTCATAATTATTTTTTATTATTGGATATGAAATTAAGTGACTGCATTTATTTCATTGACCAAACTCAAAGTTCAAAAAAAATTTTATCAACCTTTGTGGTACACCCAAGCCAAATTAGTAATTGTGACCTCTATGTACCAAAACTAAAATGGTATCATTGTACACAATCCCAATTTTTAAGATAATATTTTTGGACACTTGATTCTCTTACTCTAGCATATAGTACCTTTTCATCTCGGGATAGGGCTACTATCAAGCCGGATTTGGGCCGACCCCAGCCCGGGCCCAGAAAAGCTCGAAACCACTTTTGGCCTGGCCTGAACTAGACCAAAAGTCATGGTCGCAGGGCCTGAACCAGGCTGCGCCCATCCCAAAAGTATCTTTTAGGCTGGACCTGAGCCAACCAAAATAAAAGCTTAGTTGGGTTTAATTAGAAGCTTCTTTTTCTTTTTTTTTTAATGTATCTCTCTTCAAATTTTTCTTGTTCGTAGTAAGTAAAAAAAACTCTGTAATAAATTAGAAAAGTTGTTTCAAGCAGTGGAACTGCATTTCTACATTTGCGATCCGCGAGATATAAAATACCTATATTAAGATGGATGCAAATAGGTGGTCTATCTAAAAACACTTGAAAATGCCCACAAGTTTTCTTAATATAATTATTATTTTTAATTTTCAAAATTTATTTATTTATTCATATTCATGATCTCCATGTTAAATATTAAATGTCCTTAAAAATTAGTTCCAAAAATCTATCTCAAAATAAGATTTTTAAGAGGTGACTCACTCATAGAAACCATATTTAATAAATTATAGAAAAAGTATACAATAAGATCATTTACCTTTAGTACAAGGTGGTTACAACTAATATTGACTATTGGATGTAAAATTAAGTGGATGCATTTATTCTATTGATCAAGCTCAAACTTCAAATGAACTTTTTCAGAATTTTGTGATACACCCAAACTATCAAATTTCACATGTGATAGTTATAAGTAATCGTGGCCTTCGTATATTAAAAATAAAAAAAAAGTTTATATAGAACCTAAGCTCTAAACAATCAAATTAGAACCTACCTCAAAACTTTCATTAGAAGAGGTTGTTTTAATGCTCAGATATCATCAAATAAATCATCTCAACATCAAGATGCATGGACATGAGAAAAAAATGGATTTCAAGTTTTGAAAATAGTGCATCTTATAGCTAATTTTTTGACCGTTAATTTTCAAGATTTTTAAGTTTTCATAGATATGCCCGATCTACATTATTTTTAAAGCTTTAAATTTTATAACTAAAGATGATAATATAATTTAAAGCTATCACAAAACATTCCCGTATATTTCTTGACATTATTTTAAAGTGGACTCTAATTCGATTGTTTAGAGCTTCATCCCTATATAAACCACACACTAAAGACAAATAATGGTTTCATTGTATATAATCCTTAAACTATTTTAAAAAAAATTAAAACGCCTTAAAAGATAGTAGAAAATAAAAAACTATTGAGAAGAAAGATAAGTATACGTGGCGATTCACCAATCTCATTCCGTGCGTGCGGCGCTCTCTCTAAAAACCAACAGGCTCTCCCTCTTTAAAGACCTGTGTTCTCCTCTTTCTTTTTCTTTTTCTTTTTTTCTCTAAAAACTCTCTAAAATCTCATATTCTATAACTTTTATCTCTCCAAAACTCTTTTTCACTCTCTAGTTTTCTTGCGACAAAATGAGAATGGACGACTCTCCCCATCCTCCCATCACCCATTACTGATATTTCTTGCACTCTCAGCCCTTGCCAATTTGAAGGAGAAGAAGAAAGCATTTCAAAGTCACCCATTGTTTGTTCACCTGAAATTGATCGTTTGAGAAGTCCAGGAGGTCATCTATGTGAAACGAATCAGGTGAGGGAAGACCATACAAAAATGGGGCTTTCATTTCCATGCAAAATATTGGCTTTCTCTTGAGAGAGAGTGAGTTAGAGAGAGATAAAAGTCTTATAGAAAGAGTTGCCGCTGAAATTCACCGAGATGTCAGATAGAGAGAGACAGACGACTGTGTGTTCAGTAGTAGAGACTAGAGAGATGTTTTTAGTAGTAAGAAATGGCGGATGGGAGAGAAAGAGAGAGAGAGAGAAAGAAGGCTTTCGGGCTGGCGTATAGTCGGGCCAAGAGGGGTTTTGAGCTTTTTGGCCGGAAGCTTACTTCTCATTTTTAAAACAAAACTTCTTTTTGGTACAGCTTTAAAACAAATAAGTATTTATTGGATGAAAGACATCATCCGCATCTAGTGACTAGTCTAGTGACTAGTGATTGTTTCATAAGTCATTAGTTTCTTATGTGAATATCTATCATACCCTTGCTAAGAACAAAAAATACTCTTATTTAAATAAAATTGTATTACAAACAAAAAAAACTCTTAAAAATGCTTATATGCGAAATTAAATAGTGTTTCGCCTCGCCAGAGACATGCTATGTCCATTACCATTTTGTCTTAAAAACCACCACAAATCTAGGAGAGCCGTGGCAGTTTCATATACTTTTTTGAGTAAAAAAATACCGCAACAGGCATACTATGACATAGTAGATCCGTTGCGGTCTTTTAATTCACGCCATCCAAAAAAATTGAACAGCGCCGAGCCTATGGGCAAAAACACTGTTCATTTTTCCCCATAAGCGTTGCGTAGTGGCTTCCATTACAAACAAGGAGCAATGAGTATCCCAAAATACTAATATGTATGAGTACCCTAACATAACCCTTATTCTATTCGAGGAGTGATTTTATGGGACGATTGTATAGTAATATAATGTAAAAAATATTAAAAAATCATGTTAAGATCATTTGTTTGATTCAAATTTTAAAATACACACTCTTTTCATTCTAATGAACAATCACAAAAAATAAAATTTAGAAAAAACAACCTAAAAGTATGTTTTTAGCCCAATTAACATAGGTCATCTATTTTGGTGAGATGATTAGATCTAGGCCTTAGAATGATCTTTTTTGTTTTCAAATTTTTTAGATAACTTTATTATCATTAGGTTAACAATATTAAAAAATAAAAAAATGATTTGAATATATAAAAGCTTAGATCATGAAATTCATCAAATGGACGGTCTAGATTCATTGTTAGAGGGGATTCATTTTAACCAAGAGTGCAAATTAGTTTTTTTTTTTTAGATTGTGTGTGTGTGTAAAATTTTGGATCATACAAATGCCACAAACATGATTTTCTAGAAGTGTAGTTGCATTATATTATGATAGAACCGTTGCATTAGATCATTTCCCTATTCTATATGCAATTATAGTTATACATGCAACGCACCAAGTCATTTGCCTCGTCCCAAAAATAAGGTGCATCAATGATTTTGGTTTATTTTAATTTCTTGAACTCGGGCTCGACTGAGGCGAGTTATTCCATCTCACACAAGTAACTCGCCTCATCCAAGGCCAAAGAGAGACGCCCATAGCCGAGTCGAGTCCCATTACCTTGGTTCATGTTATTTTGGTCCATTTTAGTTATTGATGCTTAGGGTTCTTTCTTTTCTCCTTGGCATGTTCTTTCCTTCCCACTGTAAAAAGAGAAATGCTAAAAGTAACCTGATCTTAATGTAATAAAGTGTGCACAACCACCTTTTCCTTTTAGCAAATCCTTTGCTTCAAATCTAGGCCAACCTTACAATATAAAACTAATATATGAGAATAAAATTCTATCAAAAACACATCGAAATTGGGTGTCTAACTATTAGATATGCCTGACTCCCTTTACGCTTTACCTCATTCTTTGCTTCCCAAATAAAAAAGAGAAGATGGTGATCATTGATGACCTCTGATGGAACGAAATGTGCATCGCCATCCTCATTTTAAGCACATTCTCTTCTTCCCAGACATTAAAACTGGACAAACCAAACATATAGAGCTAATAGCAGAGAGAAATCCTTCCCATTGCAAACACACACAAGTTAGGCACGAGCACTTCTCAAGGTCTGGTTTTTGAGGAACACTGCAATGGCAGAATCTGCTGTTACATTTCTCTGGGAGAAATCAAACGATTTTATCATAAAGGAAGTGCAGCTCCGTAGTGGAGTGCGTGAAGATGCCATCTGGATTAGAGATGTGCTCCAGGAAATGAAAAGGTTCCTACGGAGCGCTGATTAAAGAAACGAGACAGATGAGGGACTGAGAGGTTGGGTGGGAGATGTGATAGAGGTGGCCTATGTTGCGGATGATGCCCTCGACGAGTTCATCACTCAGATGAATAATTTAAAGCTCCACAGAGGACGAAAGTGTGAATTAAATTTAGTCAAGAAGCTCACTGTCTATAATAAGTTTGCGACTGAGGTCGAAAGAATTAGGAGGAGGGTTCAGAAAGTTAAAGATAGGAGCTCAGGGTACCATTTGGAGGTGGCAAGAGATGGAGGGGTGCCCTCAAATGATTCCTTCATACATTGGAAAGATCCACGCCTTGCTTTTTCTCCAATGGAGAAAGCTGATATCGTGGGGATCGACAATCCTGTAAGTGAATTAAGTTCTTGGTTATTCAGTATGGGGTCGAAAAGTACAGTGCTTTCATTGGTGGGAATGGGTGGGGTGGGTAAGACCAGAGTAGCAAAGAGAGTTTACAATTCCAACAGCAACAATTTTGCAAGTTGTGTACGGGTCACTGTATCACAATCCTTTAAGATTGTAGACATACTTGAATCTAACATCAATGAATTTGGCATTGCAAGAAGTCTGGAGGGGAGTTCAAATGAATCTGAGAAGGAGCTCCAATCCAAGCTATTGAACTATCTCAATGATCATGTAAGGAAGAAAAGTTTCTTAGTGGTTTTTTATGGTGTATGGCAAGGCGAGGTATGGAATCTCATAAATTCCGCATTACTAGAGTATGAAAATGGAAGTAGGATCATCATCACAATACGCGAAAAAGGAGTAGCTAACATGGTGAACATAGAGAGCTGCAATTACGATATTGAACCAATGAAAGAGAGTGAAGATTTTGATACTTCTGTAAGAAGGCATTTGTAAAAAGGCATGAAAGAACAAGTGCCAATGAGCATAGAGGTTTGGCAACACGCCTCGTGGTGAGATGCCATGGATTGTCCCTAGCAAATGTTGTCATTGGAGGCATCCTGTCAAGGAAGCCATTGACCCCTCTGGAATGGAGGAATATACTTCATGAGCGTCAATGGAAGGTCCATGAAGGTGGTAGTCAATTTTCTCGTGTTCTCTCTCATTTAGCTACAATGATCTTCCTCTACACTCCAAATCATGCTTTTCATTTTGTAGCGTACTTAATATGGCTATGGATTGTTGAAGAGAAATGACTCTCAGGAAGTCATGGGTGGACACAGCAAATGAGTACTTCAAAGAGCTTCTTGACCCAAATATGCTACTAATTGGTGTGGTAGAGGATGATGGGGATGCCGTCTCTTGCCGACTTCATGATGTTGAACTCGAGTTCGCTATCCCCATTGCCAAGGAGGAGATACTGAGTGAATTCTATGGTGGAGACTGTAATTTTCGAACCCTCATACAAAAAACCTGCCGCCTCTTTATTGCTGGCAATTATAAATAAATTTTGAAGAAAAGAGACATGCCCCGAGTTCGCTCTCTATTAATGTTTCGAGGTGGCAAATCGGATGGCTCTTTTTGAGAATCACTGAGTTGCAAATTCAGGAGGTTGAGAGTATTGCTTGTGGAAAGTAGTGAATTGTCAGAAATTCCTATTAATGTGAGGGATGTAGAAAGAAATGATCCACATAATTTGCAAGAACTTACCCCTGTGAACATAAAACATTGTATGTAACAGGAAAACGATTACTATTTCCTAAAACGAGATCGACATCGAACTAAGGCATGTAGGAGCCCGAAAATAATCTTCATGAATCCCAAAGCAATGAGCCTGGAAAAATTTGCATACCCTTTCTTGTTTATCGGTAATGGAGGTTGGTGTGGTGAAGATGAATTTTGTATGTATGTAGCTCATTGGATGATAACAATTATCATGTCACCCTCTCCAACTTGTGGCTTCATCTTCACTTTCTATCGCCTCCTTGGACTACCGTGGGTGGTTATTGGTGTGCAAGGTGTCCGGTAGGGGTGAGAATTGACTTGATCTGGATCCGAAACTCAGATTTTGGATTTTATTTAGCTGGACCCAAATTTGGATTCGAAATCCAGATCCAGATCCAAAAGTCAGGTCCGAATTGAAATTTAGATCGGATCCAAGTGTAGGTGGATTTGATTCGAATTCAACCCAGATCTAGATCCAGATCCAACCCTTTTTTTTTTTATAGTAAATTTTTATTTTATATACATAATTTTTTTTAAAATAGTACATATAAAGAGTAATTCGATTTGAACTCGGATCCGATATATACCATTTAGATCCATATCCGGATCTGGTCGGAGGTATTATTAAAAAAAAAAATTTGACACCAAAAGTGCATATACATGTTTCGGAGGTATTATTAAAATGTTACACGTAATGCTATTTGCTGTAACTATTATGAAAGACCATAGTGAATAACAAAATATTACCATACCTCTTTCTTCATGCTATCAGACATTTATTTGGCGAAACAACTTTTTTCATGTAATATTTAATAACAGTGCATAAACATTTGATATAACAAATTCAATAATATAAAAAAGACAATGTTTTAATTATAATTAATTCAATTATGATAATATTTAGTAATGGTAAGATAAATAAATAGTAACTGTAAGATAAATAAATTAACAATACATAATTCATAGTATTACAATAATTGTGTATATAAATATAACTATTGTATTACAAATTATGACGATAATTTCGTTACGATAATATATAATCACTGAATTAGTTATTTGAGTGTAAGCGTCTAAAATAAATAATTATGATTGCAATTATTTGTAAATTATTATAATATTCATTACAATATTATAATTATAATTCTTAGCAATATTTACATTTATGATCATTATGAATATTATAATAATTCAGAATTAAAGACTTCTACTAAGAGAAATCATCTTAGTTCTCAATGACTAATAATACTATAGTTTGACGTAAAGTTATAATAGTAAAAATAATTTCATTATTTAGTAATAAAATTATAAAATTTATTTGAATAATTACAATTGATTAATCAATATTTTAGTTTGATTAAATATTAATACAGTAGAATTATCGTAATTCATATTATTGGAATTGTGAGAATTATCATAAGTCAAATTAATTATGATTTGTGCTTGCTTATTTATAATCACCAATTATAAATTTATTTTAATAAAAATAATCAACTATAATATATGTGTTTTAGGAGCAATAGAATTCTGTTATTATTATTATAATAACAATAATAATTCGGTTTTTATGATATAATGAAAAAAGCAAATATTTATTTGCCATCTAATAATTAATTAAGAATACCATATATTCATTGTAATTTGTAATTATACTTGCTCTAATAAAATAAATTATTCCTATTAATATTTATGTTTCTATAATTATGATTAGATTATAATATTCTGTAGTTAATTTATTATATTATATTAATAAGACTAATAATTATCAAAGTGATATATATTTTATGTATTATAGTAACTGACTTGTTTTTTATAAATTTTAAATTTTGTTAATATAGGTAATGATAAGTAGACAAATGAGAGTATTTATTAGAGTGTAACATGTCCAAAATATTTAATTATGATTCTTAGAATTAAAGACTTCTACTAATAGAAAATTTAATTCATAATCATTTTAATTCTCAATGACAAATAATAATATGATTTTAATATAAAATTATATAGGTAACATTAATTTTATTATTTAGTAATAAACTTATAAATTTTATTTAAATAATTCCATCTGATTAGTAATACAAATTAATGGAATTAAGACTATTTATGATTTATGCTTAGTTATTTAGTAAATGCAACTCTGAGAAGCCTCTCCAGCAATTCATCATCAACTCGAATCCTCGACACCACTTCTTTGCTCATGAAATATCTAAATTACCTCTCCTTTCAAAACTGTTAAAACAAAATGAAAAAAGAAAAGAACAAAAAGAAGCCTAATCAAAGTACAACAGTAAAATGTTTCCAGGCCCCTTTCACTCCCACCCATGCCTTTCAACTCCACATCCTCCTTCACCAGGCATCTGACCTCATCTTAATGCATATGAATAACGACAATAAAAAAGAAACAACACCTCTAGTTTTCTCTCACTTGGACTTCTTTCCTGGCTTTTTCTTAACAACCTCGTCAAGATACAATATTCCCTTTCCCTTATACACTTCTGGGGGCTTACAACTCCGCACTGAAGCCGCAAACTGAGCAACCCTCTGCAAGTGTATACCTGTGCAACAGACAATGTTGGGTTTAAAGCAGAAGACACGAACTGCAGGTGGCACTGTCAGCTCGACCTCGTGGCTATAGCCCAACTTCAAAAACAACATCCTCCCTCCTGCCTCTGCCCTTGCCTTGAAACCCACTCCAACAATCTTCAAGAACCGAAAGTATTTCGCTTCAATAGACATATCCTCCAATCCAGAATCCTATCCTATATTATATGTTTGTGCTCAATCATTAGATAGGAAACCAAAGATGAATAGAGAGCACAGAATATCTCAACTTTGTAAATGGAACTTGAGAGTAAGCTTTACAAAACCATTGAGAGACTTTAGAAGACAAGGAAATAGATTATCAGTCTATAAACAATGTATCCAACTTTTGACACCAAGAAATAATGTACTCATATTTCCTACCCAAACAAAAGAACAAATATTATCCTTTACAGATCAGTTCACTATCCCTCGTCAAAATAAACAGCAAGGAAGCAAACAAGATATTCATATTGTCCACCCATCCTGAAAAAGGACTTGCATGTTTTCTCAGAACTCAGATCACCTTGTCAAGTAAAGTGTTAAGCACTGTTAGGACAGTGCTTCATTGCTTGTTTCAACTAAAGGTAACATGACAAGAAGTAGAAATTCCATGCGACGGTAAAACAAGGTCGAGCAAACAATTGTCAGATTCTTCAAGGACTTCTTCTACTTCAGAACTATGCTGAATGGATTCCTCAACAAGCAGTAGTCAGCTGCTTCAAGGACTTATTTACTTCAGATTTCAGAAAGATAAGAAGGCTTAAGTTCAATGATTTTAGTAAATGGTGTGGGAATCAATAGGATTTTAGTAAATGGTGTGGGAATCCTATGCATAATCCTTCTTATCTCTTCCCATTCTAAGAGGATTTCAACAAGTAGATGGTGTGCGAATCAATAGGATTTTAGTAAATGCAACTCTAATAAGAGTGTTTCAATCCTCATCAATGACAAACCTTATGGTTTTTTACCATCCTAACGAGATATTTGACAAGGAGTTCCCTTAACCCTTCTGTTTGAAATAGTTGCAAAAATCTTTAGTAAAACTTCAAGCAATGTATAGAAACAGAATATACTACAAGGGTTTCAAGGAGCTCCTCGTGGGCCTATTATTTCCCACCTTCAGTATGTTGATGGTGATCCTGTGAGCTGACTATTCAAAAAGCAGATACATCATGATTGGATCTGAAATATTTTGAATTGGAAGCAGGGCTTCAAGTTAATATGCACAAAACAACATCATCCAGCCAAGGGGTAGAGATATGTGAACTTAAGACACTTCAGAGAATTTGCAGGGGTATGGTGTCCTGCCAAACAAATATCTTGAGTTGCCATTATGCATTGGCAAGCCCCAAAAATATTTATGTGACAGAGTGATCGAGAGACTAGCGGAAATTTTCAACATTGAATACCTGTCTCTTGGAGAAAGATCACAATAATTAAATCTACTCTCCAACCTCCCCGTGTACTATAAGCTGCCTTTCAAAATGCCAACGTCCATTCTTCACAAGATTGAGCAGCTTCAAAGAGAATTCCCATGAAGAGGTTCCTCCAAACATCACAAGTTCCACCTGGTGAGATGGGAATCAATGCGCAGCAAAGAAGGCAGGTAAACTCGGAATAAGAAAAATGAAAGAATTTAATATGGCCCTCCTTGGGATAGGACTGTCGAATTTCACACAGAGAACTAGTCATGGAAGTCAACTATTGAGCATAAGTATGGATCCAACAGAAATGGAAGGTATGCTAAAAATCTGCAAGATGGAAATCAACTGTTAAAAGGGCCTAAAAATGCATTAATACAGCTCATGATGCATCTGCGAAGTCTTTAGTACACTATCCGCTCTTGGAAAGATTTACAGACTGGTACAGATACTTTGGGTGATCGTTTACTGTCTTGGCTGCCATTGTGGATGACTCTAACTCCCTGTTTCCGAATGCTTCACTGCAAGCTAAAACCAGACATTGTGGTGCCCTATGTTTAGATGAAATCCGAGATCTCATCATATAGAGGAATTTTGTATGTCGATAAACCACTCACAATCAGTCTACATACCCAAAGATATGGAAGATAACCTTCTGTGGAGTCGAGATAGTAAGCATATCAAGATCCTTTTACAGAATACCATCCTGATGATCAAACAACTAGGGAAGTCTCAAGGATCTAGTCGACTAAAGACCCGCCTTGTGCTCAGCTCTTCCTATGGCTGTTGACCCCTGCAGCATAGGAATCCAAATCCCACATCAATGCATTATGTGCATTAGACAAGAAGAAATGTTAGGCAGTTACTAATGGATTGTGATAAGGCAACAGATTTTTGGTCCTTCTTCAAACCCTTTGGTTCTCTTGGACTAAGCTAGCATCAGTAGAGGCTTGCTGCTGTAGTGGTTATCCCACAAAAGCCACTAAAAGGAAAAAGGATTGATCTTATGGACACTTCTCATTTCAGCAATTCCATGGTCTTTGAGAAAGGAACAAAACAGTAGAATTTTAAAATCTAAGATATGGAAAAGTCGCAAGTATGTCTGCTTCATGGGCATTAACCAAAAACCAAACAGATATTAATATACAATGGTATAAAATTGTCTGGTGCATAACATCAAGAGATATTAGAGCACCAAAATGGCAGCCACGCACCAAAATGGCAAGCACCACAAAATGGAGTCCTAAAGATGATATCTTATGGAAGTTTAGTGGACAATCCAGGCCCTGCTCGACTTGGGGCATCTTTCGATCACAGCTGGATCATATCAACTTAAGCTAGTAGGGCCCTGCTCATCACTGTGATTCAAATAAAGAAAAGACCAAAAGGGACTACATGAACCCCATTGCTTGGTCTACAAAGGAAGCCAAAAACCATGGAGATTCATAAACACCTTCAATGAAGCATTCAAGAGATGTACTGAGAGGAATAGGCCATTTACACACACTTGGCAGGAAATGAATTTGGCTGATTCCCTTGCCAGACAAGGGTGTTCAAAGAACTTCCATTCTCAGTCGCAAACACAAATAAATAACGCTGATCTTCAGTGAATGTAGCCATTTTGTTTACTATCAAAACAAGAAAGCAATAAGAAGCAAGTTATCGATCATTACTCATGATATGTGTCTCCAGAACTAATTAGCCAAGAGAAATTTCCGCTAAGACAATGTTGTTAATGTCTCTGAATTATAAGTGTTATGAAGTTTATCAGATTTTATAGTTACCTTAGCATAAGTTGGATGTTAATCTGAAGTTAAAGCCGGACACATGCAGTAGGTCTACATCTGATATGCATTGTTCACAATTTGAATTAATGGACATTTTTTAACCATATGACTATTCTTGATGCAGTAGAAGCCACAAGGGATTGGTTCTTGCATCCTTCTACCACTCATGATGACCAATTATAAGGGAAACAAGTACAAGCATACCCTTAAGGTTTTATTTGAAGCAAACATGATAATGTAATGTATCTCACTTCAAATTCATAACAGTCCAGTGCCAAACTAATTAAAAACCACAATAAGGTAACACAAAGCTGAGGTTTTTCTGGTAATTTGCAACTGAAACTAACTCCATATTCACTTTTTTCATATTCTTCTTCATTTGAATAAGTGGGATTCAGCCCTCAGATACTAAAACAGCAGTCCTTACTCTGAAATTACTAAGTCAAGTTACCAAAGCTCAGCATTCTACCATCTTAACTTGAAGCATTACTCACTGAAACCTTTTTGGAATTATAGCTGGAAACAACTTCCATCAAATCCAATGTATATGTATTTTTCACGATAGCTGCTGTCAAATCCAATATGAAAGGCAATGTCGCAATTATAAGTAGGACACCACCTTATACTGGATTATAAGACACCAAGAGCAGAATCAGGTATTTCTTAGAGAAAAGACAAAACACAGAAAGGGAAAAGAAAGGCATCTCATTGAGATTAAGTAATAATGGCGCCTAAAGTACCCACATAATGGCACCAAAGATGTCTTCTATAGGTTACAATGGTACAAGAAACTAGAGACTCTCTCTCTCATCCCCCCTCCCTTTAGTACAAGAAACCAGACTCTCTCTCTCTCTCTCT